GTCGCCGTGGTAGTTGTCGTGGTCGTAGCCACAGTTTAGGTGGATTTGAACTAGCTCGAAGAAGTGGTCGTGGTTGAGGTAGTAGTCGCTGTCATGGGGATCTTGGTAGAGGAAGGCAGAGACGTCTTTGATATCCCTCCCTTCTTGAGGATCTACTTGTGCACTAGTTGATGCCATGTAGAAGCTGTGTGTTACATAAAGTCCAAGCACCAGGATAGAACGGCCTGGCAAGCATCTTGTTGGCTGTTGTAGTTGAGACTTGCACATAAGAGCAACAACAGAAAATGGCAGAGTTGCGCCCATAGCAAGGAACTCTTCCCACAGGTGCGCTTGTCGAGTCAACTCCAGTAACAAGAACACCGCCGGTCCTCCGGGGTCCCAAAACATGCCCATCTGGTACATGCCCATGTCGAACTCCCATATACATATGGCAGAGACGAGAGGAAAAAGAAAACACTTGCATTGAGCATCACCATCTTATTGAAATAGAGCCCCAACACCCATTTCTGAAAAGATCCCCACTCGAAGATGCTAATAACAGAAGCACAAACTTCATCTGATTTCGGATATCTTGTACCAGAACCAACCTCAAAGCAATCCCACAATTCATGATAAACCTTGGTTGATATAAGATGCTGACACTCACAAGTTTCTGAAGCTTCAGTACTGGGCATTTGGATGGCGGTCCGTCTCGGTCCTGTCCTCTGTCGCCCTTCGACTCCACTTGGATGGCGGCCCACCATTGACGGATGTGCTACAGGAGAAATCCCCGCTGACCTTGTCAGCTGACCACGGCGGCGCTACTCCAGCGTCGCTTACCCTCTTGGGGGCGTGGCTCATGTGCCACTCTTGTCTCTCGGTCCGGATTCGCAGCTCTCGGCTCTGCCCTCTGGGAATCTAACCGGTTATGCTCCAGGCGAAAGCTATGTGACGGCGTCGTCCTCGGATGTCGTCCACCTTCTTGAAGGCGTCACTAGGGAGCTCCTTGCCGCCATTCATCCTCCGTTGCCCTTGGGGATTGGTCATCCTCTGCTCTGCTAGCTCAAGACCCTCTCATGCCTGTCGTCCGTTTTGGTGAGCTTCGTGCTCTTCGTGCTATCTCGGTTCATCTTTGCTCAACAACGACGCAACGATGCCTCCCCACCTTGCTAATCGTGTCGGCTTGCTGTGGCGGAGTTTCCAGTCAAGGTTCGTGATGGGTCACTCGTTGATTGGTGTTGCTCCTCTGTTGTGCCAAGGGGTTGGTATGCACGCAGGTGTGGTGCGTTAGGATAGTTGTTTAGTGTTGGTATTGTGTTTCCTCGATGACACACCACTTCCTCTCGACTTTTATGGTGGTGGTCTCTTGGCTTGCTGGCTAGGTAGTGCTTTCTTCGGGGTGTCCATATACTCTCACCCTATGTAATCTTTTCCCCCTGTGTGGTTTTTCGGCCCGGTTTCCCTTATAAACCGGGTCAACCTGTTAAGGTTTTCGATCCGGTTTTCCTTATAAACTGGATCAAACACTTGGCATTTTGGCCACTTTGAGCAATATATTCAGGTGGGGAATCTCTCCCCCCCGGTGACCGTTCAAAAAAAAAAAGTACTGGGCATAGTTCTGAAATTGATAATAATTTCCACGCTTTCCAGTTGCTGTACCAGATAGCGATGCATCTGATCGCCACCAGCCTGTATACTTGAACATATAGGAACCACCAATTGATGTAATGAATCATCGACAAGTATAGTAAGGACACAAAGAATGGCCGGACTGGTGTTCATATATAATTTCAGAAGTCCTGAATCAGTATCAGTTGTCCGACAATTGATCCCATTGAATCTCTGGTTGAACCATGCATCACCCCATATGCTTTCAAATAGAACATATACCCAGCGCAGATGGATGCTCCAGCCTAGACAATTTATGCTCTTTACTGCATCAGTTAGCAGTCCCCTCTTGTGGACACTGCCAAGAGGAATTAGATTATGTGGCCCACCATTCTCCAGCTTCCTCTCGAATGTACACTTCTCCATACAAAAATCATAGGCATGAGCACAATGGTGAAAATATTCAGCACCTTCCAGTTGCCGCACCATACAACAGGAATAAGACTGCAGACTCTTGTATTTAACTTGGTCTGTATGCATTGTTTCTGAACCCTTCTTTTCATGTTCAACAATATATGTTACTTGATCTGGTCGACGCCAAGACTGCTACCGTGCACCATGTAAATAACTGAAGGGCTCTTCCATGGGAATTAGTACAGAACAACAAATAGGCTGAACCATCAAGCATGCCAAGAGGACATATGGATTACCACATTGTTCAGAACTGCAATGTCTAGTAAAATGGCCACTCCCTTGAAATTCCTCTAGATTGAAATATGACCACTTCATTGTCAATCTCATGATTTGAACTATCCCTTCAACTAGAAACTGTACTGCCTGACAATTACAGAAAAAATATGATCTTGATAGGTTCCACTGGGCATTCTTTTGACTGAACCTGAACATCGGCTGGGCATCTTGAGCACAAAATTCATATGAGGACTGCACAATAAACACAACTAGCCTCCGTTCTGTGGTACCCAAGGTCAGATCATATATTAATTGCATTAACAGAACACCAATATTGCTTGACAGCTCTACGAACATAGCATCCAGTTTCTGCACACTCCGAAATAGATGCACCTCCACACTAGCAAGACCTGAATGATGCAGTTCATAAGCAATAGTACGAGAACATCCACAGAGTTCCGCAAGCCAATTATTGTCATGAAAGAGCGTGACAAGCTTACTGAAACTTGAACCATCATGTTTCAAACACCTCAAGCACAAGAACAGACCAGGGAGTATCCTTATGCGATGCCCGTTGAGATTGGACCACCGCTTCCATGTATTGCACACAAGGTTTCCAACATGACTTAATTCCATCAGGAAGGTACTACTAATCAAACTACTGTTATGCACTTGGAGAAACAGAAACGGATGTGCCCTGAACATCCATGTATGAGGGTCATGCACAGGAGGTACGTGGAAATTGCAATGGGCAACACAAGCACGACAGACTTCTGATGGCACCTTTATTGCAAACGAAGGCCACGGAGTGGGTCGAATCTCATTCCTATCTGCTATATGATTTGACAGAAAGGATGGCCACGGCATGAATCGTACCTCATTCCCATCAGCAAGATCCCTCCAAAACGATGGCCACGGCGTCGGCCGTAGCCTCATCCACTGCCACCAGACTTGTTGAAACGCCATTGCCATCAGCGAGAGCTTAGGTGTGTCGGGAAGGCAGGAGCGCGGGTACTCCGCAGTCAGTAGTATGGGCGCCGCAGGTGCAACAATTTTGTTGGCGTCGTCGTACACGACTGTTGTCACCAGAGAGAATCGCCGGGTGAAAACATCGGTGATGATCACCCCAGGAGCGGCGTCCTCCTCAATGACCGTGTGCGAAGGAAACTGCTCAACTTCCTTGTCATTCCGGATGACGGTGAGCTCAGGGAAGACAACAGTGGTGGCGTTGAGGTCGATGGCAAGGTCGTGGCAGACGGTGGTGGAGGGGACGCCGGGAAAGATGGCGAGCTCGGTGACGACTTCTGGAATTGCCGCCACCAATGTGTACTCGTCCGTGCCCGCGACTGGGACGCGGCAATCGCTGTCAAGGGAAGACTTGGGGGATGTATCGTGGCCGTGAGGCGGCGTGCTGGTGCTGGCCGCCGCAGGGATGTCGATGGCCCCGACGGACTTGCCGTCATGACCAGAGATGGCCGCGGTGGAGTTGGTGAGGTCGATGGCGGTGTCACGGTTGTCCTTGACGACGGTGGGCGAAGTAGACGCTGGGGCCGGCAACACGTCGAGTGTAGCGCACCACATCTGCAGGCGACAACACCGGTAGTAGATGCAGCGGCCATCCCAGTATGCGAATGCGTGCGCCGAAGTGAATCGGACATCTGCCGCTACAAAAGGCTCTCCATCCTCTGATTTTGTTTGGGGATACACCACCAACTGCTCTACACCAAAGGGAGCGAAGAGGGAATACAATACATCGGTAGTGATAGGGTAAATCGCTTGCTCCACGACCATGCTGAGAACTTGATCTGAGAACATTTGGTGGCTAGTCATTCTGTCGAACAGGAAGAAGGCAATGACTAGCGAAAAAAAAATTGGGGCGGAAAGGATGGTGGACTGGCTCTGATAGCAGATGTTAGGAACCTGCTATGATCTATCTTGACTAGTCACTTCAACAGATGAATTGTAGCAGTAGCATAGCAATTACATGGGAGAGGTTACAGGAACAGGAAGAACAGAGATGAATTGGAGGTAGGGGAAAGAGAAGGGAGCCGCTGCCGTTCGTGCCTGATCCTACGCGGATACCTCCTCGTGGCCTGCTTCCCTTGTATTTGTAGTGGGCACCCTGGTTAATGCACCACTGGGCTTGGCCCATGTACCACCCACGGGCAAGCCAATGGGTCCCTAACACTTTACTCTTTACAATTGTCTGATCAGTAGTACTAGAATTTGGCAGTGTGCGATGTTCATCATACTAATCTGTTCAGTTCGTGGTTTTCTGAGATTGGTACTCTGGAGAGTGTAGTTAATGGCCAATTGTAGAAATGTCAATACTTTCAATATTGGAAAATTTACCATGTTATTAGGTTATTCTAATTTGGGAACCTCCTCCCACCCAGCCATGACCGAGGTTCTCTCCTAGTCAGGAGGAGCAGTATTAGCCAGTTGAGAAATTAGCAGACTCACACACCGACAATGCGCAAGTAACTTGGCATTTCACATTGAGATCACAAAGCAAACTCATCTTCTTTCTCCATGGTCTTGCAACGCAAATACAACCATTATTTACATTGCTTTTATCATGGCACACAATGTAGACTTGCCAAAACAAACCAACTGTTTTATATCAAGCCAAATTCATGGGATATCCCTGGATTGCAATCAATACCCCACCACTATGTTGAGCAAATTGACAGTAGTACAACATCATCCAAATACATGCATGTTTAGGTGATAGTGACACTGCTGATGCCTTGTCGCCACTCATGGCCCATCAGCTCCTTTGCTCTTGCCACGAGAGCAGAGAGAGGCACACTGTGCTCCATCAGTCCTGCGTCGCCCAAGAAGAACCTGTACTTTTCAGCCCTTGAAGGTGTATGTTCTACCCGCAGCAGTGCTTCCATCATCCAGCATTTATTAAAGCAGTCGGTGTAGCTAGGATTGCACTCCATTATGTGTATGGCATGTTCAACTATCACCCTCCTGATTCCCGGACAATGAGCAGTAGGTGTCATATTTGAGTTAAGTGCACAGACAAGTCTGTTTATAAATCTTTCTTTAATCTGACCATGCTCAAGTTCACGCTCAAAGTCTCCAGGAATGGCATGACATATTTGTGAACTAAGGCCAACAAGGACCTCTAGTTCCGCCCCTTCTGCATCCATTATTCCTTCCAAGACCTATAATAGAAATAGTTAAGTGATGTAAACATAATATGGCAAACTTCTGCTGCATCTGAACCTATATATATATGGTCAGGTGGTAATCCAAGATGATGCCATGTCGCCATCTATTTCTCTAGTTATGTTATGTATATTTGGCAGTTCATACTTCTTACTTCTTATTACTCTCAACATTGAAATGACTTAGTTGCATGACATAAACTATATCATGAATGATGTGCATGTCCGTGCCAAGAAATGTCCATAGTTAGAAAAAAAATGAATTCATGCATTTTTCTTTAACAATTTGTGAGATAGGAAATGCCGCAACTGTTAAGCTTCATGCACTAGCCAACGCGACAAAAAATTTGAACTGATATGAAAAAGGTCAGGCAATCCACATATACACTTCAACACCCCCTCTCACGTGCGACGCGGAAAGTCAACACATGGATAGACTCAGAGGTATGGCTCAAGAGGCCTATACATGGACAAAGGGGAGCAACGACAATCTTTTGGATAAATTGCGAAAGCCAGGACTCGAACTTAAGACAATGGGCTCTGATACCATGTGTAAGCTTCATGCACTAGCTAATGCAACCAAAAGTCCGAACTAGTGAAAGAGCCTAGGCAATCCACATATACACTTCAATAGCAACAACAGGTGCAACATCTAATTTTACTTGTCAGGGCTCACCTCTCGCAGGATGTGAGAGAACTCCTTCAGTTCGGAGTTGTTGAACTTAGGTTGAGCATGCATGCACATACTTCGCAACAAGCTTGCTGCTACGTACCTGTACATGTCCCCATGGATCATAAATGCGAGCTCCTTGATGAATACATACCCTGGTTCGGCTAACATAACCAAACAGTTATTCGCACTGTCCATTGCTAGCACTGCCAGGGCTTGCCCGGCGACCTTTCGTAACTTATCTGAATATGTACTTGAGGCTGCTTCTCGGTTAAGAAATGCATGCATCAACCTGCTAATGATCACCCGAATCTTCCCGATCTCGTCCCTTGTGTTTGCATCCATGGAAATGTTTCTAAGGATTTCTGTTGTTAGCTCCCTAAGTTCTTGGCTGCTCCCACTGTCTTCCAAGATCGCTGCAAGGTTGCTCAAAAGGAAGGGATGTTCTGAAATCTCCTGTCGCAAAGTTACCCCAAACTTCCCTCGAGTACTTGCAAGTCTTCTCAGCAGTTTCAACGATGAACCTTTCAGCAGTGCCTGGTCTGTCTCACTAATATTGGTCATGTCAGTTCTGTTGCTTGTGAAATCTATGATCTTTGAAATGAGGCCTGTTGATCTGTTGATTTCTACACGGTTCTCAATATCAAAGCTAGCAAGAGTGTCAAGAATTAATCTGCCCAGTACAGGGAGCAGATCCTGGTCCGTTGATGGCTCCTCCTCTGGAATATACCAGCATTTGGTAATCTGCTTCCAGCATCTGAGTGTACATGAGTTTTGTCCATCCATGTTAGATGGCTCCTCCCTTGGAACCAAACAATATACTGCCATCTGTTTCAACCATTTAAGCATGGGTGTCCTCTGTTCGTCCATGGCAACTTGCTGAATCAGGGTATCTTGTTCTGCCTCTAGGCTACCAATGTCTAGGAGAGGATCCTTTATTTTCTGCTGGTGAACAGTATCAAGAAGTGAGGCTATGAGCTGCATTGCCCCAGGGACAGAGACAACTCGGAGGCTACCAGCAAGCTCAGCTATGACCTTCGCGGCAAATGATCTAATATTTGCATCTCCTTCACTTGTCCAGCCCAACATGTTGAATAAGACAGTTACTGTCTTCGTGGAAGTCGCTAGTTTTGAGATGGCTTTGGTCTTGATAGGTTCATTTTTTAGGAAAATGTGCAACATGCGAAGTCCATAGAGCTGCATCTTGGGTGAGTCTGACTTTAAAGAATCCATTGCAAATGCGATGAGGCTGATCTTCTTTCGGGCAAACACAGCGCCGTCCATGCATTTCTCAAAGGCATAGGCATAGTACAAATTGACATATTCCACTGCCCGGGGACCTCTGAATCTAGCACCACGGGCGAGGCATCTCAGGAGGATGCATGAAAAGACATCAAGGATGCAGGCAACAATGTAAAGTATTCCCTGGCCAAGCACCATCCCGTAGAAGATATTGAGAGATGGCACGAGGTTTGTCTTGTCCCCAAGGATTTTCTTGTCAACATGTTCATCATGGCCGTAGTAGCTTTGTGCTTTAAGGCGTACTAGTGCCAGCACGATGCGCAATACTGCTGCTGGAATCTGGAGGTTTCCGAATGACACTATTACTACTAGGCCACATAATTTAAATATGAGAATCACAATCCATCCGACGCCTTCAAAAGTGAACACAAACATCGCTACTGCAGCTAGCATGCACAAGTTTAGAATAACTCGACGCCAATATATTATTCTCCTGCCGAGAGTCAAGTCTACTAGTTTCATGATACCTGGGAATTGCAGCCTGCTGATTGTCGCTAGGAGCACGACCACAAATAATACCAGATACATTGTCAGCTTGGCGATTGAGTTTTTGAAACTGAGTTTGTGAATGTTGAAATCCTCATCGAAGCTATATGGTGCAGAGGGACCAAGCAATAGGACTGCAACAACTGGGCTCCATAATGACATCGCACGGCATAGCAGATTGCATATGAGTAGTCGTGCAGCTCCTGGAAACAGAGATGGGCTAATCGCAAGCACTGCCAAGGGCAAAGCTGGTATTTGTATTGTTGCATACTTATTCCAGATTAGAATGCACACTAGGACATTGGAAAAACATAACACCAAGATCATAGCATTCCAGCTAAGAGACTTGAAAGAACCTCTGGAACGGAAGAACAATCGATAATCCAGGTTATTGTTGCGGCTGAACATCCTGAAATAAATACAAGATGGTATAATTAAACAAAAAGGCAACATGCAATCCACAATGCAAGGATGACATATGCATGTATTTAAAATACAACAAGAATTCTGAAATTACCCGAATACAGCTCTAGACTTTGAGTGCCAAACATGTACAACTGGGGACGTATTGTTTCCATATATATTTTGTTTGAGTTAGTATTGATGGTTTGACAAGACCCTGACAGGGGTAAATTTACCTATTCTAAGGCTTGCAGCAACTTTCTGGGTCCTTTGAAATAGTAAAAATGACAACTGCTTCAAAAGAATGTACTGCAATTAACCTAGAAGATATGCTCCAACGGAAAATTCATGTTTTATGCTGGTATAACTCTTGTTTCTTGATTGGACTTTGAGCAGTTTATCTCCAAGGTTTTAAGTAGTGGATGTCGGGTTGGCAATGGGTTGACTTTGGTGTATCTACTAATATAGGATATCAAACAATATGCCCAAGTACTGGCCAGGAATGTTGTGAGTGGAGAGTTGGGGATGTGTTTGTTGGCAATTTTAGAAAGGAGGCGCTTGCCCGACTTTAACTAACTGAAGCCATTAAATCGTTTGCAACAAATAGTACCAGAAACAAAGAATGAAAAATGTTCGATATAGACCCAACGGGGCGAAGGCAAGGCTGCCAACATAACGGGAGGCGTTTGTTGGCAATTGATGAGCCCTAAGACCTAAGCAGTCATCTAGTTCAGGTTGCATGCATGTAGCATCTGAAGGAGAGGAACATCCTCCTCTTCAGCGACATAGGATTTGTGCTGCAGCTAGGGGGGAAACGGATCGGATGCGGATGGGATACTGCTCTTCCAACTTCCATTTTCATATTTTCAAAACAAATACAAATGCGAATACGGATGTTATTGGATGCGAATGTGGTGAGGATGTTACTTGAATACGGATACACATTGGTTGTTTACTCAATTCGGAACGAATACAAATAGTAACGGCATATTAGTTAAATAAAATAAGTCAATAGTTATGTGACAACAAATAATCAACTTGCAACATACAGTAAGCCAATTATAGACAGGTTTATGAATAAATACTACTATGATGCGTACTAATTTCTAAGTTTAGTCATACAAAAAGTAAAGTTTGACCACTTCTTAGGCTTGTATGTTGGATAATTGGCATATTGGGACAAGTATTTCTCAAATTAGTTCACGTAATTTTATTTGGATACGGATATATCCATATCCATATGCATATTTGTGTCAAAATTCCATACCATATTTGTATTTGAATTTGCAAAATAAATCCGGACACCTTCCATTTCCATTTCCAATTTAGTTCGGATGCGGATGTTTCGGATATGAATAAGAATTTTCTCGAATACAAATATCGGCTATTTTGAATTATCCACGGCCACTTTCAACCCCTGGCCGCAGCCAATTGTCAGGCAATATACAAAACCTATAAAATATCTGTATTTTGGGCAATACATATATCGGGACAACTGTACTGGACATCAGGAACTGTACTCTGCGCATGCATGTGGGCTCTTTAGTTTTTGGCTTTGTTCCTCTAAGAGGACAAGCTAAACTATTTACTGGATGGAGCTTATTAAACATAAAGATCACTTCCTGGCTTTGTGGAGGTTTGAGATTGGGAATGGGGAAAGTGTAAGATTTTGGGAAGATAGGCGGATTAATAATAGAGCCCTGAAGGATGTCTTTCCTAGGCTTTATAGCATATGCTTTGATACGAAAAATCGGTTAAATATATATTTGATAAAGTTTTGGATAATGTTGCCTTCCGAAGAACCCTATATGGGGATTCTTTGGAACTTTGGGACCACATTAAAGACAGTTGTCGGAGTGTGGTGCTAAATAATGATAGAGATAATATTGTTTGGACCCTGGACAGAAAAGGGATATACACTGTTAAATCTTATTACAGATTTCTGATTGAGAATAGGGTCAAATATCCACATAAGTTCTTATGGAAGACTAAAATGCCACCTAGATTGAAAGTCTTTATGTGGCTAGTATTGAGAAACAGTATTTTGACTAGAGATAATTTGATTCGTAGAGGGTGGGTTAGAGAGAAAACTTTCCCCTTTTGCATGCAAGATGAGAGTGTGGACCATCTGTTTTTTAAGTGTTCTATGGCAAAAATGATGTGGAATGTTACACAGTTTGCTTTTAACTTGAAACAAGTTTCTGATAATTTGCATGATCTATTTGGGGTATGGTTGAAACAATTTAACAAAGATGAGAAATCCCTCGTGACTGTAGGGATTGCAGCTGTCTTCTGGATAATTTGGAAGCTTAGAAATAGGGTGGTTTTCGATAAAAACAGGGTTTATGATCCCTGTGTACCAATGAATCTGATGATCAAGATGCTTCATGATTGGCTTATATTGCAGATAAACCCAAGAAGACGAAGAATAATGACGGAGGGCATAAAAAAAGTTGTACTAGTGGCAGCAGAAATCTTCAGGGCGGTGCTGGGATGGAGAGCCGTTCGCAGGACTGCGGCGACGTGATCTTCTGAAGTTTCTTCACACTGGTGAAAGCCTTGTGGGAGATTTATTCTGTCATCGATCTATACATGTAGCTCCTGTCTTATTTCTTCAGTCTGAACTGTTGGGGGTTATGCTACTAGTTATCGTTTGTTCTGAACTTGATGTTCTGGTTGTTTTTGCTTGAGTCGTCCTGGAGAACCCCGCTTGTGGGATTTCTCAGGGCTGTGCTGGGTGGTTGCGTTTTGCGTTTGTGAAACCTAGTCAGTTTCTTAGATTGGGTAAAAATCTGCACTTCAAAGGACGGAGGCTGTGGGATTGGCTCTTTTGCATCTTCAAGGAGTGTGCATCGTAGGATTTGGAGAGAATTTCTTATTTAACATTGTCTTAAAATTGGATGCCCTATTTAACACCGAAAAAATATTTCTTCCCTCTATGACATCAACTCTAAATTTTGTTCCCAGTATAACACATATGTACAATATTTAAGCTAACGGTGTTAAATTATGTATGAAATGACAATTTTGCCCTCAAACATCTAGCCAATCTGCCCCTATATTTCTGTGTCATATTTAAAGGTGGGATAACACGAGTCGGTGTGGCCAAAAGGTTGTGCTAAAACTAATTTGCCTAAGCTTACCTGATAGGCTGATAGGCCAGGCTCTAGTGGTACGTGGGCACGGCGACAAGAAGTGTTCTGTAATTTGTATGCAAGTTGGAGTTTAGCAGACTGTGCCGCACCTGCCGGAGCCAGTGGCAGCACGTCGTGTTTTCGTTCGTTCCGCCGGGAGAGCGGAGTTGATCGATCCAGCAAGCTAGCCTTTCACATGTACGTGTGTCACGTACGGCTAGACGTGCGTGCACTGATTAATGAAGCAGCGAGCTTTTGAACGTACGTGTGCAGCCCTTCGATAATTTCTTTTAGCGTTCTATAAAACTAGCAGAGGCACCGGGGAAAAGAGATTTTGGTGATATACTAGTGCCAAGGGTAGTATTGTCATTTCAAGCGCCATTTAACACTGTTAGCTCAAAAAATTGACGAAAGTGTTATATTGGGAATAAAATTTAGAGTCAATGATAGATAGGAAAGAAATATTTTGGCAGTGTTAAATAGGGAATTCAATTTTAAGATAGTGTTAAATAAGGAATTCTTTCTATGATTTGCTCCTGTAATGTAAGTTGGCAATGGCCTGGTGTCAGTTGTAAGACTTGGTGATTTCTAATAATGGAAATCATAGAGGAACCTCTCTTTCTCAAAAAAAAAAACACTACCTACTGGATCACCTTTTCTTTTCTTTTGCAAGTGCGGCACCGTTTTGTTTCACTTATAATCGAGAGAATATAGCTGTAAAGGCCGCCATCTTATTATTTGCTTCATCAAAGAAAGAAAAAACATACCTGGCGGCTTCCAGGAAAACTATGGTTATCGTAAACCAGAAGTCATCCTACCGGCGGAGCTCAGCCGGGTAGCCGCCGAGCAGGACGACGGTTGCCCACGTGAACGCCAGCGTGCCCAGCGCGTTGCCAAACCTTTCAATCAGAGCGACCAAGTGCACGAAGCGATTCAGCAGTTTCTCCGGCGCGGTGGACATGCCGGCACGCGCCGCCGGCGGCGCCGGCATCTGTATGCGGTGCTCGGCGAGGACTTCCGCCATCGCTTCTCAAGGCGTAGGCGAGCTCGGCGAGCAATGGCATTTATTGATCCGCACGATGGTGGAGTCTTAAGTTATGCAACCCACTAAAGCTGCACCAAGTCAATTAACCGAAATGATTTTTTTTGCGGGGAATTAACCGAAATGATTGAATGAGAATGTTAGCATATACTCATATCTTCTACTCCAGTAATGTACTAGTACAGGAAGTTAATAGCTACTTGCGCTATTCTAAATCTGGCTTTGCCAGTTGTATCGCCCCGGTTGTACAAAAGTCAAAGCCTCTTCTCATTTGGATGTACGTGCACGGGTAGACATGTTTAACTCACATAGAAAAAGCCTGCTGCCTTGTGCATGAATTGGTCGCCAAACCCGTTGTCCAGCCCTTGTAGCTACAATTGAAGAAAACAGTGTACAAAAGTAAATTACCATGACCAAGCACACTAATACATATGTAGGCTAATCCAAGAGAGTATCTCTCATCATAGTCATAACTGTTCTTGTCTGGGGACACATGTACATTCCATTTTGGTGTCATGTACTGCTATTTCTAATTGATCTATATCTACTAAGATATAAAGCACCCAAGATTTGAAGCCTTTTGGTGCGCCGAGGGCTATAGGGGTTGGGTTGCAGGGCGTCACCTGTAAGGGTGTGTGTCATTGGTTGAGGGTTTTTTGTCTGTTTTTTGGGTCTTCTCTTTTCTATTTTTTAACTTTCCTTTTCAGATTTTAATTCATGAACATTTATTAAAATTCGTGAGCATTACAAAAATTATGGATATTTTCTAAAATTCCAAAATATTTTTTAAAAACTCATGAACTTTTTCAAATTCATAAATATTTTTAAAG